ACATCTCAACAAAGCCCCACTAGTCCACACCTGGACACACTAAGCATATCCCAAGTTCTGCCCCACCAGGGGGTGTCTTACACACACAGAGGGTCCTATCACCTGAAGACGACCACTTGGCCAGCTTATTGTCTCAAACCCACACACACATACACACACACACACCCACACACACACACCTATACCCAGACTAGGAGGCTCCGGTTCACACTAAATGGAGAATAGTGCAAGATTTGATTCTTATAGGCTCTAGTTACTTTATAATCTTTAGTTACTTTTCAGTTCTTCATTGTCTTTCAGTTACTTTTCATATGTTTACCTTCCTTGCTTACACATGGTAAAACTGTACTGATGATTGACCAGAACTACTGAGCCTTGGTTACTTTAATACATTTATTTTCCTTGCATGTATATTTTCCAATTGTACTGATGAGAGTCAAGTGATACTGAAGTAGAAACTGACTACTTTAACTTCTGTGTACACACAGTGTTTGTATTCATGAGGTCCTGCTTTGTCTTGTAATGAAATTACACAGATGGGGGGTCTGCAGCGCAGAGGACCCATTGTTCTGCTGCCGCCTGGAAAATCACATGACAACACACCTGGTTTCGTGGGACCTTTGTTTGGGGCGGACCTAGCCAAGCGCATAAATGTAATGTAAAAACATGACTCGGGGCTCAGAAGTCAGATCTCCTGCGGGAGCTCTGGCTCTCTGAATCCAGCGCTGTAAAGACTTTCCTGTGATCAGACTTTCAGTAAACTTTGTTGATTTTAAACAGTCCTCTCCTGTCGTCACTTCTTGTGCTTCCAACAAAAGAATTGGGTTAATTTCTAACGAAAAGGTTAGAATCTAACAGTAACTAGAGTCTATAAGACTCAAATCTTACAACGTTATAGCCAAAAATACTGCAATATTATTTATTAGCCCTATTTCTTCCAACTGCAAATTTTGTCTGACTGTCAAAACAAGAAAAACATCGGTTTCACAGTGATATCATATAAAAGAAGTCGTCAGCCTTATACTTAATAAAATGTTATGACAGTTGTCATTAATTCTTTTGATATTAAGCTGATAACATTGATTACTCACTCCATTATAATATAGACAGAAATACTACAACTTAACATAAACACTTCACCTCCAATTACAAGTAATTACATTAGAAACTGGCTAATAAACACTAATACAAGATTTTTCTTTTAATTATGAAGGTAGACTAAATATTAGGGATGCCTCTCAGCATGACAGAATATAATCATAAATCAGCACAAACTACAGCCTCTAGAATGTTCATAATGTTATACCAACATCTACTGGATACAACTGGGCTTCAAAACTATTTAGGTTAGATTAGATTCAACTTTATTGTCATTGCCCATGAACAAGTGCAAGGCAACAAAATGCAGTTCGGCATCTGACCAGAGATTAGATGCTAAACTGCATTTTGTTACAGTTTTTAGTAATATAAAGAAAAATGTAATGCATAATTACATATGAATTGTGCTGAAATAGAAAAAGGCAGACCAGCAGCCTCAGAAAGGCCCAAAGTCTACTATATAGTATAATATTACATAAAACAGACAGGTTGACAGACAGGTTGTTGTAAATTCAAACCTAGCGATGGTTGAGCATTCAATGTGCCAGCCAGGTCTTCCTCTGCCCCACGGAGATTCCCAGTATGGTTCCTGCGGTTTGGACTCCTTCCACAAAGCAAAATCCCTTGGGTCTCGTTTACGTGAGCTGCCTGAAGAACAGTACAATTTGTTATTATTAAAGCTAACATAGTCTGGCTAAGCAGCGCCGGTAATCACGCTGTGCATTGATGTCAGAAATCCACATTTCCGAACTTTTAATGGCATATTGAAACTTGAGCAGAACTAGGTATATACTACTCCTGGTGAGGACAGTTCTCCCCCAAAGCTCCCTCAGCACCAACCACACAATAATTGACTCAGACAGAAACACTCACCAGGTTCTCCTTGAAAGTCCGCAGCTCCCACAAACTTGCCATAGCGATCACCAATGGACTTAATGTCAAAATACACATCACCTGCAACCAAAGAACGGTTGACTCAGGTGTTGTGGGGATGCAGCCACTGTTTCATAAGTGAAATAACAATCGTGATCTACTACATATTCACCTTCTTTTGTGGCATAAGCATGTCCATTTTTGATGATTCCCTCAATAAATGCGATAATATGATGCACATTCTCAGTGACTCTTAAATACACTGCAGGAGGAATCACCTCAAAAACAATGACAGAGAATGATGTTTATAGGTAAACACAGTAACAAATGACTTAAGATAACAAATAGAATAGTCACTTTCGGCTTTTCCTGTTTAGGGGTCGCCACAGCGAATTGTCACACTGACGACTCACTCACATGCTGACATTTGGCACGTGTTTTACGCTGGATGCCCTTCCTGACGCAACCTGGATTCGAACCCGGGGCGCCGTGGCGAGAGCGCTGTGCCTTAACCGCTAGCCTACCAGGGACGGCCAAAATTTAAAATAGCAAAAACCAACAAAAAGTGTCTTAAGGTGACTGTCCACCATGTGTCACCGGAAGAGCTTCAGTGCACCTTGGCATTGATTTTACAAGACACATGAACGAAGCTGCTCACCGATTGTCACAACATGGCCATATTGTACACGCCTACAACACTCCCCTTACAACCCCTCACACCCCTGACCAACGCAGCCCCTTGTGTTAAAACACAGCAGGAAGGTGCTGGACTCAGTCAGAACGTGGCCATATGCTAGAAAAGTCATACTGTGGTTCTGGTGGTAAAGCGGGTCATCTCCAAGCCAAAGAGTTGGCAGTTCCAATCCAGGCTTCTCCAGTCCACATGTCAAAGTGTCCTTGAGAAAGCCACTAAACCCCAAGTTTCTTATGGTGGGTGTCCCACCGAGGTGAGTGAATGGGCAATAGTGTGTCCATTTATAACATGCTATTCTAGGAGTGGCTCCCACAGACCTGTCTAGAAGAATTTACCACTTTTGTCAGCCTTGACAGTAAATTAATAAACTGCAACTCATACTTACAAACCTTTAACGACAGCATATCCCTCTTGAATTCATCTTCATACATTCTGGCTATGATGGTTGGAGAAACATTTTCCTATAAAACAAGGGAAAAACATTTTCTGAAAAAACATACTCTAGAATAAAAACAGCAAGAGTCGTCGATTAACAGACTCTCATAATCTTACCTCCCAGCTTCTTTTGATAATTTTGTCATCAATGTCAGTGATGACCATAGCATGTATGACTGTGATTCCAAACAATCTGGACAAAATCCTCTGCAGGATATCAAACCTGACATATGAGCTGTGACAAGATGTATTTTTTATAGCTCAGACACGTTTGCGTAAAGGTTTTGGCTTGTACTTAAAGTGTTTATATCATTACCATGCATGACCCAGGTGGGCATGGTCGTACACCGTGGGTCCACAGCTGTACCTGAGTCACAACGCATGGAATACAATGTAAGGAAAATATCGCTATAAATGTAACGTACTGTGTATATTAATTATGTAAGGATAACCTATACCAGGTAGCTACACCCTCTCTTGCCAGAATGAGAGGCTCTTTTTGCTTGGTCAGGCTGTTGAAAGTCTTTACACCCGTGTCAAGGCCGCTGGGTCTTATCCATTTCGTCCCTGAAACACTGCTGCAGGTTCCATGTAATCTGAATTTGACTGTGTTGACTGACTGAGCCGTGTTGAAAACCCCGCGGAGGACCTTTGGTTTCCCTAACACCGAGCTCACCGGGTATCTCCACATAGCGAGACCTCGCTGTATATAAAGCAGAGTACGCGCTGCTAGCTTAGCCTAGCTGTTCGACTTGCACATTAACCGAACTTGATGGATAGCTTTTAGCGTTGAACGGCTAAATCGCCGTTTGCGCCCACGTGACCTCCACACTTATCGTGAGAGTTGGATATCGGAAGTGTTCATACGTATCATGTGATTTGCTGTTCTGTGGACTGTACTTTGAGTGGCTATGTCAAAAATAATTCACCTATAATTGTGGCTGGACGGTTTTTGAAGAAGCTCGCGTTTTATGTATTGGGAGCTCTACAAAATGCAGAACGTCATAAACACAGTGAAAGGCACGGCTCTCGGAGTGGCAGAGTTTCTCACTCCAGTGTTGAAGGTAAAATTACATGAACTAGCATGTTGATAGGTGTTGACTAGTATGAGTTGTCTTAAACACATGAACAGATGATAAGTGCTGTCTAGTACAGCAACATATATCACGGAATTCGTTTTGTTTACGTTATCTAAACCTTTAGTTAAGACCAAAGGACTATCGACCCTCAGTGAATGCATTTACACAGTGCGCAGTGTTTACCAGGAGGTTAATGCCATACAGTAGCTCCTGACATCACTTTAATACAGTTTTCGTTTCGTTATTAATAACAGGAATCGAAATTCAAAGAGACTGGAGTCATAACACCAGAAGAGGTAAGAACATATTTTTTTAGAGGCCCACCTACAAACCTGGACCTAAATATGCAAAACCATACAGCCTGTCTGTAAATGTATAGTTGATATTTAATCATCTCTTTTTGTATTTTAGTTTGTAGCAGCTGGAGATCACTTGGTTCACCATTGCCCCACATGGAAATGGTGAGTTGGAGCTCAGTCACAGATGTATGAATTCCTTTGCCGCTTCTTCTTCTTGTCCTCCTCCTTTCCCTTTTATATCCTCCTGTCATAAAGTCCCGGGAAAGAGGACATCTTGAGCTTTCTAGTGATGTCACACAAACTATTGTGTGGCCAGCAAATCACATGTTTTGTCTTTTTAAAATGATAGCAATTCAAGCAAGCACATTTTTTCTTCCGGGTCTCAGGAGGCTATGGAAATAAACCCCCGTCACAGTGTTTGAGGTGTATGAACTACATTTCAAGCGCTACTCTGTTGCAACTCAGTGTTTGGAAGTGCACGGGTTTGTAAATGCAGAATTAGATTTGACAGCCTAATCCCAGCCCTGCATGTACTTGCTTTCAATTTTGCCCCAACATTTTGGTGGGGTTGTACTTCCATACCTCTCCTGTGTATGAAGGCCATGATATGCTAACCCCTGGACATAGGAATAAAGCTTAACCTCTCACACTAAGGTGACATATTTGAAACATATTAAAGCTCCAAACACTGCTTGAGGTTTTATGACAGAGATATTCACTCAGTAATTGACTACCATGAACCTGCGAACAGAGTTCCCTGCAGACCTCCCTTCATGTTATTAATTCAGGATAAGACCCCAAAACCTCCCAAATAACAACAACCTGCAGTTATTGTGGCAACTACCTCCTTAAACCCTCAGATGTTACTGTACTACGAAATTTTTATAAACCAGTGCACTCTGGCTCTTTGAGGAAGTATTAAATTTAGTCTGAAATAACCAATGAAAGCTGTGTCACTGGACACTTAAGACCATATTTGTTTTGCACAGTATTTAGTTGACATAAGATGTTATTAAGGATAGGAAATGTAAAAAATAGTGTATATTATGTAACAAGTAAACAATTGGATATTTTAGATAAACCATTTTCTGATGTAACTATCTAAACTCATTTCAGCAGTTCAATCTTGGCCTTCTGTCAACCCTGTGAACTGTTTGTAACCTCAGACACTCACTAAGACTTAGGTAGTCACACTCACTGGGAATTGGGTAACCAAACACTGAGAACTGTCTGCCTTAACTATTACCACTTAAAAGTGCAAACTCGCTAAAATCATAGGAATGTCAATAACATGAAACTTGACTCAATAACCACAGAGACTATTAAACCATTTCAGGAATTTTTTATAGAAGCTTAACAGAGCTACAGCAAAGCAACAAGCAACAATTGTCTTGATTGGCTTAAAATCTAAATAAATCAACAACTACTATTTCTAACATCACTCTAAAATATTATACTGATTAAAATTATTATGGTTGAGCTAAGCTCTTGATCTGAATAAAAGTCAAAGGTCTCGCATCATCGATCCTCAGCTGGCTCGGGGCAGGGTGGTGGCAGGCTGGGCAATTGTTTGTTCCTCTTTTTCCCTTTTGGCCATGATTCAAGCTTTCACAAGGGGAAAAGAATTTATAAACAAAAATATCAAAGCTCATCCGGCTCAATCTTCAAAACTCTCAAAGAGAAAAATAGGACAAATTCAGGACAAATTCAAACAATGTTTTTCTTGGTCAAATCTTCTGTAACTCAGGAAACAATAAAGACATGGAAATGTCTAAAATGGTTTTCTTTTCAAGCCACCTTTCCCCACCAGGTCGGGTGGCTTGTGGCATTCTGTTAAAAATTTTCATTTCTTCTTCAATCATCTTTTAAGCAAGAATTCAGTTTTCCTGCTAAACTGTGAGGCTCCACCACAGCTCCATCGTCCCCTGTTGACATCCATTCCTCCCTCACAGGCTGGGACAGCTTGCGGGGGACCAACCAGCCGATCATCCGGACAGAGCCTCTGGCCGTATCCGTGAAAGAACTCCCCATTCCTCTTTTTGCCTGGGTTTTTATAGGGTTCTGGTCAGTAGCCTTTGTCCTCTCATCCAACCAGATGCCGCAATTTGCAGTTAATACCTTATTTGGCTTGCAAAATCATATTGTTCTGAAGTATTGCATATTTTTTACTGTCACAGCTCAAGCCTACTGCCCGTACCCGGCCTCCGCCCCACTGTGATCCAGCCTTGGATTCTTCTTCCTCTTTCCATCTTAATACCTAATATAGATACAAGAAACTCACATCTGATTGAAATATCAAAATTCCATCATTGCTTTTAACAGAACAATCAGAATTACACACTGATTTTACACAAAACTATCAATACCTTAAAGTCAAAACATGGGTCTTTATATTTTGAATACAGTACTTGACTAAACATTGATTATCATTGATTAGACATTGATCAAACATTAATTATCAGTCAAATCTTTACTTTTGTGGATGGAACATTTATTTTCGTTACTTCCTCAGTATATTGTGTGTCTCTTCTCTGTGTGCCATGCACACATGAACTTTTGTAGTTCCTCCTTTCAGGGATGTGTGTCTACTTCCTCTTCTCTGTGATTCTGCCTTTTTCACTCCTTTAGCTGCAAAATCACTTCTCTTCATTCATTCAGTACAATCATTTCACATTTTATTCTTACACATTCTCTGATTATTTCAACAAACACACACATAAATCATCTTATGATTATCCTTACTTATTAAAATCTTAACTTTCTAAGCATTCTGCCATAGCATTTTAACAATAATTCCTTTGTCTTCTCCAACCTCCCCTGGAACTTCCTCGTTCTCCTCTGCTTTCTCTGTATCTTGGTACTCTTTGGGGCCTGTTTTTACAGCCTTGCTGACACCTGTTTGTTTGTTTGTTTGTAACACTTGGAAGCATGACAGATGTATGGGAGAGTGGTAACAAACCCACTTTCAGTGGTGTGTATTATGTTATTATTTTGTAGTTTGTTTGTTTTTTTAACTCTCTGGCACCTTAGCGGAATAAAACACATTACATTTTAGTCATTCAGCTTGTGTTCTTCTTTAAAAGAAGTATGAAAGGAAAAAAAAAACTATAGTTAAAAAAAAACTGAAGTGAATTTTAAGTAAGAACATTTTGAATGAGTGTTAGAATAATGAAGGCAAAACACATGATCCGATCTAAAATAATATTGTGTTTGTGATTTCATCTCCATTCAGGGCCACTGGGGAAGAGGTCAAAGTGAAGCCATATTTGCCCCAGGATAAACAGTTTCTCCTAACACGCAATGGTAAGAGCTGGATTCTTTTCACCTGGTTCCTCATACATTAAACAGTTCCCTAGTGAAGCAACTCTGTATTTTCCATTGTTTTAGTTTTATTTTCAGTGTGGCACATTGGCTGCATGTCTTTAAAATAAAGAGAAGCCTCGTTAAATTGGTGTGGATGAAAGAGAACTGTGCATGAATTTTGAGACCAAATTTTAATTGCATGATATAAAATGGAAATAATAAAAGGCTAAATTAAATAGCTTTGGTACTTAGCAGTTATGCAGTATCACTTCATTGTGTGTTAACTCTGTGGTTGCGTTCTCGCAGTTCCCTGTTACAAACGTTGTAAACAGATGGAGTATTCAGAAGAGCTGGAAGCCATCATAGAGGAGGATGATGGAGATGGGGGCTGGGTGGACACTTACCACAACTCAGGTTGAACACAGTCTCTCAACATCCATATGTTCTATATGTCCTGAGGACAGTTCAGGTTTTCGGTGTCAATGGATTGATATAGCTGTGGAATGTGCTTAGTTGCACAGTGACCTGGGAGTAGATGTCACTTAAAAATAGATGTCAGAATGGCACCACTTGCTTATGAATTTCAGCTCTTTTTAAACCATTGTTCTGATTAAAATTATATTAAAAAGGATTGTGGACATTTTTAAGACTTTTAAGAAAAAATTACATACATATAGTTTTATTATTGTAATAGATATTTTGGAAGTAAGACAAAGACAAATGTAGTTGGACATAGTAGTATGTGCAAAAATAGAGTTTCCAAAACTGGTGTGAAATGTGTGTCAGCAGGTTTGTTAGGAGCTACAGATGCTGTACGAGAACTTTCACTGGACAATAATAAGGTATGATTCCTATTTTTTTGTTTAATGCTTTGGTTGAATACAATGTGAAATTTAAAAATTCCAATATAAATTATGCTTAAAGTGGCTTTAATCAATGTTTCCCTAATTAAAGTGTATCAAGTTACAACACATCAGTGCACAAAACTACAGTAACACATGAAAGCAGCTAAAGGACTATGGTAAAAGATGAATACTTTGCAGATGTCCCAGAAGGCCTGCAGATCAATCAGGTATTAATGACAGTGAGCAGAGTCAGTCCGACCTCACTGTGCACTGCTGTCACTCACTATTCACTTGCAATTTCCTCAACATATGGTAACAAAACATCTAGTGATAGTGATGGTATCACTATGACAACTGTTAAATGGGTAATTGAGGGGATATGCAAACCATTAACCCATATTTTTAACATGTCGTTTCGACTTGGGCAGTTCCCCAATAATATGAAAATAGCAAAGGTTATTCCTCTGTATAAATCTGGTGATAAGCACAACTTCACAAATTATAGACCGGTTTCTCTGTTGTCACAATTTTCAAAAATTCTGGAAAAACTCTTTAATAACAGATTAGACACATTTATTGACAAACATAAAATCCTCTCTGATTGCCAATACGGTTTTAGGTCGAACCGATCGACATCCTTGGCCACTACTGACCTGATGGAGGACATTACAAGTGCTATGGATGAGAAGAAATACACGATGGGGATATTTATTGACCTAAAAAAAAGCATTTGACACAATCAATCATGAATTATTAATGGACAAGTTAGAAAAATATGGGATCAGAGGAATGGTTCTGAAATGGATTAGAAGTTATTTGACACAGAGGCGTCAATTTGTGAAGTTGGGTGAATACCAATCGAGTGAGCCTGACATTGTATGTGGAGTGCCTCAGGGTTCTGTTTTGGGACCTAAACTATTTATATTATACATCAATGATATATGTAAGGTTTCTGAAACTGTTAAAATGGTTTTGTTTGCTGATGATACTACCATTTGGGC